CAAACATTTACTGCTTATTTCTTTTAAATTCCAAAACAGAAGCCTCATGAAACAATAGTCAGCTGAAATTTTTATTTCCATTCCCCTCTTGGGTCCCCCCCACCAACTCCCGGCATTTGCCTTAAGTGCTTGGGTCAGGAAGCTGGAAGGCAGGTGAGGCGCGATGTGCATCACCTCTGCCATTCTGTCCATCAGGCATTTTGAACCGTGCTTCACTATTGCTACAGAGGCTCGTGTGCCTTCACATCCCAGCACAGACAAGGTTTAACCAGGTTATGTAACAGTTTACAATGCCCTGCTGTAGCCTAGCTCAGCAGGACCAGCAACCAATGAGACCGAGGCTATCACCTGCTTTTTTCAGCTGTTTAGTAAATGAGTAGGTCCCATCTGTGCTGGAATAGGGGTCACATTCCTATTTAAAAGAAATTAGGCTGCATTGTCCGGGGCCGGGCTGCTCTTCCTATGGGGCATGGCCAGGAACGGAGTTGTGAAGGGCCATCTGCGGGATTGCACCCTCTTGGCTGAGACAGCAGACCAATCCCATGCTCCACATGTTCCAGCAGGGAAGAGAAGCAGGAGCTTTCTTTCTGCCCTCCCTGCTGATGCTTTTGCTCTTCCCTTCTCTGCCCATCCCGGGCAGCAGAAGCGTGCTTCAAAGGGCCACGGGGTTGGATTCATGGTTCTCTGGAGCAAGGAAGTCCCAGAGCTGAAGGATGTGCAGGCAGGAAGGGGAGAGGAAAGGGAGATGGCCCCCCGCACCACTAGGTCCATTCTCCACAAGTCCCTCAACCCACAATATATCCAAAAAGAACTGTGATCCAAATCCCATAGTCCTTTAGGATACACAGAGTCATGGGACAGGATTTCCTCCCAGGCCCCAGCCATTTCATCAGTGGCAGACAAAAGGGTTGAGAGACTTGGTTAGTGGGACAGGGCACAGGGCGAGGAGACATGGGCTCTATTTTTGCCTTAGTCACATACAGTGTGACCTTAGGCAAGTCACTTAATCTCCCCATGCCTGTGCTTCCCCATATGTAAAACTGGCATAATGATACTTAACCTCCTTTCTGAAACAGCTTATGATCCAGAGATCAATAAAGCAGGGGCCTGATGGTGCCATTATTCACCATGGGTCCAGTCTGATTTGAACAGCGATTGACTTGATGCACACTATTCCCTAAATAACTTACTCAAAGAATAACAGCACAACTGTGAACACGATTCATTGACTAACATCTGAGTAGCTCTATTTATTTTGGCTATCACAGCTTGCAGTCTAGGTCCAAGGAAGTGACAGCATCCCCGCCCCCTCCCCCGACGACTTTAATTTTAGTTTAAAAACCATGGGTTTTTAAGCTCGGGAATCAATAGCCTCCTTGCTGCACAAACCTAACCCTCACACACACCTTTCTGCTTTCAAAGCTACCCAGGTGGTTCATCACTACACCTCCCTTAACTGAACCCTTCCTCTTATCTGAAACCAGGTCACAGCCCAGGGAGGCATTAGACAAGTGAGGCTCAGATAACAGTGGCTGCACTCAGAGCTCCCTAGGCAGCTACTTCCTGTAGGAGGAATGGCAGTTTCATTTCCCTTGCTTGGTACCTTCCCCCCGCCACATCAAGTTAGGGGCAGATGGCTTCCCTAAGGCTGGCTGGCTCAGTGGCATTCGCTGCACAAGCCTTTATCCACTGAAATCTGACTTGACTCCATTAAAACAGCAGGAAAGAGCTTAAGAGACTACAGGCCAGCCGCTCTATTGAAGTTAATGGGGAGTTTGGGCCACGCAAGGACTGGAGGATTCAGATCTTTGCGCTCCAGAGTGAGCTTTCAGCACACGAATACATGCACATGGGAGTGTAGCTGATCTGGCCGGCCTTAGGGCAGTCAGCCAGTCAGCTCGCTCTCTGTAATTAGAACTAACTGGCAGGCTTTGAAGTCTGCGATCAGGGCTGAGAAAACCTGACAGCAGACTTCAAAGTCTGCTGCGCCAACTCGCCTGATTATCTGAAGGCTGCTGGTGTCCCCCAAGACTCTGAGATAATCATGGTAGCGCTGCATTTTTCCCCTCCTCCCCTCCCCAAATTGCTAGGATTTGAACTCAGGATTATATTTCCTCTGCTCCTCTTGGTGTGAGAGAGCTGAATCCTCCCCGAGGAAACATGTGGGTTCTGCTGAAACATTTCAGTGAAAGGCTCGAGGAAGCGGGAAGTCTTGGAGTGAATTCACCACTAATTTTTGCTGCAGGTGCTGAAAGCCAGACAGGCCGACTGCAATCACAGCATGGAGTGCTGGGCCTTATTGTGCTGTGAGTGACTTAGCTGACACCAGTTACTGGGATAAATGTTGACTCAAACCACACATTTTCAAACCTGGCTGCCTAAAAGTGGGCTCTTGCTCTCTACTGCCAGCCTAGTCACCCAAAGCCCTGAGCTTTGTTGTCAAGAGAGCCCGGCTTGTAACCACAGAAGGTGGCTTGTTACCAGGCACTGGCTGAGCAGCTCTGACACTGGGTGAGGAGCAATCATGCTGCAGGGCTAAGCAACCAGGCTGCAGGGAGACAGCTGCTGGGCCATTGTATTTATAAAGCACCTTGGCTCCATGGAGGGATTGGGGTGCTGTACAGACATGCTGAAATGGACTGCAATGAAAACACCCTGCTAAGAACCAGGGGTTCAGCACTGGAATATCAGGGGATTGCACTTCCTCACCCAGAGGTACTGGCAGAGCTCCTGAACCCCCAGCTGGGTCTGACACTACCCAGTCCTGTAGCGCCTCACTCTTGTCACCGTAACACGTACAATATACCCACCAGCAATGTCTTTGGGCATGGCCAGTGACACTCCACTCTAAACAGAAACCGATTCTCTCTCTCCTCCCCCTCCCCCACCCTTGAAATTGTGTATGTCAGACAGGCAGCATCCACAGAAGCTGCTCAGATTTCACAAGGTCCATTAGCAGAGTCAAAGTGGGTCCAGCTGAAAGCCTGGAGCTGCAAACTCTAGCTTACCGCAGGCTCCTAAAGCTTCCAACCTGCTTCATAGTGATTTATAGCTCCTCTGAAATGAATATAATCTGCAAACTTGGGATCATGCATGGCTCAGCAGAGCGTGGGGTGGGGGCAGAACCTTTCACTTCCAGTTTAAATACAGCACTGTTTGGCAGTAACTGAAGAGATACCAACTGATGGCTATTCTGCGGGCAGGGCGCAGGTGGTCTCTGCTCACCTGCTAGCAGACAGCTCTTCATATCAATACAATTGCTGCCCTCCCAGCCCTTTGACAGTCTCAGCAAAACAGCCACAGACTAAACAGGCTATGTAGGCTGACCTGTTCTCCCCTGAAGAGCTGGTCCCAGGAGATCAGATTGCAGGACAAGGGTAGGTAACACCTGTCCGGCTGCCGCCAATGCTCTGGCGAGAGGCTGCTCCAGCATCTTTCACCGTTACTACATTTACTTGAAAATAAACCCTCGTTATGCCAAGTCAGACTTTGTTTCTTAAAAGCAGGGGGGGCTAAGTAAAGGGAACTTCTTAGACATGCCGTTTTTGTGACACAGATACATTCGTGCGGGTGCTGGATAAACCATATTCTACCTCGCCTCTCCTGTCGCACAGAGGAAGCGGTCGCCCCTTTGTTATTCCAAGGGGTGCAAATGGTTCTAGAATAAGAAATGATCTGAAAAGTACCTTGATAAATGAGCCATCAGGACCAGCACTACAACATGGTGAGACTGATCTTACATTGACACAGCACCTTTCATCCAAAGGACCCCAAGCACTACGCCTATTGTACATACCCAAGGGAAACACCTTCCACTAAGGAAATGCAGCTCCCATTTGAGTGGTGACAGGACAGGACAGCACTTCTCAACCTCACTGCGCTCAGACACTACCAACATTTATTTCAAAAGAGACCCTGCCCCCAAAGATCTCATAACTTGGAATCTGGGAAATCATGAAAACTCCATACTGATTGTCATGATCTTTTCTTTCAGTCATGGCTGCCAGACCTGAGCTGGGGAGGGAAAGAAACCAAGGCATACACTTCAGTGGGAGCTGCCACACAAGCCACCACTCAGCAGTTCTACATGGTTTCAAGCAGGACAGCATGAGTGACCTGAAAGACTGACCTTGCCAAAGAACGAGTACAGGAGTTCCCAGAGGCTTTTGCACCAGCAGACTTAAATACCTACAGAAGGACAAATTACCACCCTTACTGCATCAGAGCGGGGAGGTGCATTCTTTACCCTGCTGTAGGGGTTGGTGATGTTACCAGCTGTGACAGGAAGAAAAAAAAATCCCAGTCTGGGGGCACGTCTTCACTGGCAGGGCTTTAACATGGCTTGAGTGGTCGTGGCAGAGCACTGGGAAAGAGCTCTTCCAGCGCTGTAAAAAATCACCTCCACAAGAGGCGTGGCTCTGGGGCACGGTCTACACTGGTGCTTTATAGCGCTGAAACTTGCTGTGCTCAGAAGGGTGTTTTTTCACACCCCTGAGCGAGAAAGTTGCAGGGCTGTAAATTGCCAGTGTGGACAAGCCCTCAGACGCCGGCAGATACAGTAGGCGAAACGCACAGATTTTCCGCTCCAGCACCACTGACTTTCCTGATGGCTGTTTGGCAGAGTCAGGAGAACCAGCCAGCAGGCCTGATGCACTGGTTTCAGAGGATACAATAGGCATTAACTCATGGCCCTTGTGCAACCAACAGACTGGTTCAGGGTGGGCAGGAGGAGAAAGTTGCTGCTATCAAGAGTGCCTGTTGTATAGCGGGCAGAGCCTGGAATCAAAGTTTAGACCTACCTCTGACAAGGATATACCATATAACCATAGACCAGTCATTTAACCTTTCCATAAAACCAGGAGAATACTTACTGAATTGGAGGGGGGGGGAAGAGAAAAGAGGGCTGGAGGATCAAATCTGATGTCTGTTTGAAAGGAGCTCTGAGTGCCAAGTCGATGGGAAGTGCCGCCTGCAGTGTGAACATTCTAACCAGAGAACGGTTACCAAAAGACTTGCTCTTTATTTTGAACATAAAAAGAAACATTACATAGCATCATTAGAACCGTTCAATTCCGGCATTCCAGAATTGTGCCAAATACCTTATTCTGTACCTTCCACCAATTCCTGTCTATTTCCTAAAGTCATTTTCAAGCAATGCCTGGTTCAGAGTCCAAGTAGAGAGGAATTTCCCAGCTGTAACCGGGTAGGAAACACATGGCAAAGTGAACAGAGTAAGATCAACAGGAGCCCTTAGCATACTTGGCTATTGGTTTCAATCCCAGGAGTTGCAGCTTAGATGGTACTGAACCCTTGCATCGCACCTCATGCAGCTTAATCCTTAATCTCCTCAGATACCAACCACTCCTAACACACACAAGTGGGCACAGGGAGTAAAAAAAAAATCATGGGAAAAGGAGTGACTAAGAGACACAGGTTCTTTAGTTAGAGACGAGATTCCCATTGTATAAAAAGAGGATAATACAAAATTGGCACACTTGGAAGACCTGCTGGGGAACTACTGCCCCAAGAATTTCAGCCTTTGAAAATACAGCAACACCAGGGAGAAAGGGGGAGGGAGCACCATCTCCCAAAGGGCTAGCAGCTGTGCGATGTAGTGGCCATCTCCTTTCACTTGGAACTGGAAGGAGATGTGTTATGGGCTATGATGGAAGAAGTGGTTACTCACCCTCTGCAGTAACTGTGGTTCTTTGAGATTTGTGCCCTTACAGGTGCTCCACCTAGGTGCACGTGTGCCCCAGAGGCCCTTGGAGATTTTCAGGAGCAGTGTCCGTTCAGCCCTTGCATGCATCATGGTTATCCTTGTGCCCGGCGCCAAGGCTGTATCAGGCTACATGGGTGAACTGTCCCCCCAGTGCCTTCTGCACCACTGAGTCTCAGAGGAAACTGAAACAGAGGGGAAGGAGCGTGGGTAACGGAGCACCTACAGGGACACACATCTTGAAGAACCACACAGTTATACACAGGGTAAGTAACCTCTTCTTCTTCTTCTTCTTCAAGTAGTGTCTGTATGGGTACTCCACTCTTGGAGACTCCTGAGCACTATCCTCCCATACGAGCAGGGAGCTTAGGATTGGAGTCCATCACAGAAGAGAGAACTGCATTGCCATCAGCCGCATCTGTGCCTAGAGAAGCTATGTATTGAAGATTATGTGACAGCTCTGCAGATTTCTGGAAAGGGAACATTAAGGAGAGCCACAGATGTAGATTGTGATCTAGCTGAGTGCACCAAAACACTGATGGTGGTGGAATGTCAACAGCCTAGTAGCAGGCTATAAAATACCCGGACACGCATTTAGAGCGTGTCTCTAGGTAGAAATGGCAGAACTCTGTTTCAGTTGCAGACAGGTCAAAAACGTTCTAGTGGATTTATAAAATGGCTTAGCTCTGTCCAAATGAAAAGAGAATGCCCTCCTGACATCCAGAGCATGGAGAGCAGTCCCCAGGTTAGAAGAATGTGGCTTCGGAAAGAAAACTGGTCGGTATATGCTCTGATTCAGGTGAAATTCGTATGCTACTTTAGGAGAAACCGGAGTCATAGCCGTAAGGGCACCTTATCCTTGTGGAATGTTGTGAAAGGAGGGTCAGCCATTAAGACCCTGATCTCTCTGACTCTGCAGGCTGAGGCAATAGTAATAAAGTCAATAAGGAGCAGGTCGCCATTGGTTCAAAAGGGGGCTTTGTGAGGCTTTTGGGAACTAGGTTCAGGTCCTACACAATGACCTGTGGGAAGGTCTTTGTGTGGGAGAAGAGGGTCCCCAGGCCTTTCATGAATCACATGGGTGTGGGGTGAGCAAACAGAAAAGTCTTTGATCTAAGACTGGACTCCACCCTCTATAATAAAAAAAAAATGCTTTTTCTTTTAAACAAATACTAATCTAACTACTAACAACTAAACTAAACTAGCTAACTAGGAGAAACTCTGTAACTACCGAGGTAGGCAAGAGGCGGACATGCTAACTCCATTGTGCCGATGCAGCCTGATATAGCCTCGGCCGGGGCACAAGGATACCAACGGCGCAAGTGTGGGTTGAACAGACATTGCTAATGAAAATCTCCGATTGAGGGCATGTGGGGCGCACACGCACCCAGAGGGACACTACTCGAAAAATAAGGTTGATGTTAGCTAAGGGCATGGGGACCCTTCACTAATGGGTAAGGAACCCCCACAGCCAAAATAACCCTGAGTTTCTTTCTGCAGGGAGAAAATGCCAGCATGCAGTGTGTGCTTAGGAAGAGCTGCCATTCCATGCTTGTTCATTCCATATTACTGCATTCCAAGCTTGGTTCTGTTTCCCCCAAACGTAACGGACAGCAACAGAGATGAGGGTTAAACCTGCAAGGAAAGCGAGTGACTTGTGCTTTGGATAACTAATCCCCACCCCACCCAACAGAGAGACATGCTAGGAACATTTTTAAAAGAACATCAATGATGTGAGGAAAGCAAATATTAAAGCAGGAAAGAGAAGAGTCGTTTAGCTGTGTGTGGGAAAGAGGACATCAATGCAAACTCAGTGCCCCGCAAGACCAGCAAGCGAGTGCCTCAGTGTGGTAAGGCAGCGCAGGAGAGGACAACAAACATTCTGTGCTGGTTCTGGAAGAGGATGACATCCTGCTCTAGCAAATCAACTCCTATGCTTTCCTCTTTTTGGAGAGTATATAGATGCAAGTTCTTCCACTTTAACACGGGGAACTCAGGTGTGCCATGATGGCTATGCATTCCTCCCCCACCAGCTTCTTGCTGTGTCCACATGCAGATTCAGGAAGGGCACTGAAACACGAGGCTCGGCTTCAGAAAAAGCTAGCAATAGGGGGAGGCTGCCGAGAAGACGCAGGTCAAGATTTTCCAGCTGTGACGAGTGATTTTGGGTGCCTCCATTTCTGGATGGCCCACATGAGACACCTTAAAGGGGCCAAAGTACAAAAAATGATGCTGAGCACCCCCTCTGAAAAATCAGGCTGCTTTTGAAATGCACACATCCAAAATAGTCACGCGAAAAATCTTAGCCCCAGTTCCCTTTCAGGGACAAAGTCTTGTGCCAGTGCTGGGGAAAATATCAGGACAAAAGTAACTGAACACTGAGCATCTCAAATAAATGCCGTCTGTAGCGGTTACAATACAATGGCGTTAAAGACTTCACTCAGCTGTGAAATTAAGTCATGTTAATAAAAGGAGGTTAGATCCTGCAGTACCCCGGAGGGTACGTGCGAATGGACTACTAGTCACAGAGAAGGCCTAGAATGTAATGAAAGTCTCAAGACAGTTAACAATACAGCAGGGCCTCTAGCTTTTGCAGATGGTCTCATCTGTCATTGGTTCTTTATTCCTAAAGCATAATGGAGAAGGATGGACCATTGGTGGTAACTCAATTTCCTATCTTTGTTGATTTTAGCCAAACCCAACATGCGATATCAGTGTACTTCTTTTGTACACAATGTCTGACTTTTATTGCTTAAAAACACCAGCTGTGCTAGAAGACAGAGCTGCCCGGATAACTGAGAGCAGCTCCTTAGGAGCCATGCCAAGGGAGTGTGGAAGACCAGAGCCGGGCTTTCATACGATAGCACCTATGAATATGCCTCAAACCCCCTGGAGAGATCTGCCCATGTAGTGTCCAGCAATGGAGAGGACCCCTTGAAAAGACAGGGGTCACTGCAGGTACAAAGAGACAGAGACCTGCTTTAAAAAAAAAATATCAAAAATCAAACTCCCTTCTATGATGGCCTGATTTTGCACCCACACAGCCACAATTTGGCTGCTGTTGATTGTGGACACACTGCTGCCAAATTAGAGATTGCAGAGATGTGTGTTAGGTGGCTGCAAGGAAACAAAATGGAAATTACTTTAGAACCTGCTCTGTGTATAGGTAATAGCTGGTTCCCACACCATTTCCAGCCAACGGCCAGTTGACCATATACCTGAAAAGAGCTGGTGGTCTCCATCCTCTTCCTAAAAGGACGGGTGTTCCTCTGATGAACACATCACCACCGCCATGACTGGTAACTGGCGCCTTGCTGGTGGTCTCAGCAGAGAGGCCAGGGAGACACTCTCCACTCAGGAAGAGTAGCACCCCCTGTGGGTCAGGGTAGAGGCACAGTGGGAGGGGCTATGGTGGGAAGGAAGGCCTGCACTGTGAAGTACTTGGTCTGAGCATTCAGCCTCTAGGGTTGCCAAGGTAGCACTTGTCACCAGAACAAAGACCAACTTTAAAAAAATATATTTAAGAAAATTGTCACAGACACGTCCATACATGCTGTATTGTGGAGTGAACTCCAAACCCCTGAAAATAGGGGAAGAGAGGGCACCCTGACAACCATAAACCCACCTTGACCATTGCATCTTTACCAAACAAGTACTAGAGCACCTCATACGGCTGCTTCCTTCCCAGCACTGGAGATAGGAACAAAACCCGGGGGGGGGGAGGGAGGGAAAAGAGAGAGAGAACAGGTCAGCTAATTTTATAAAAGGCAAAATATTTCTCCCAAGCCCTGCCCACCACAATAACCCTCCCCCCCGCCCAACGATGTTCACACACAAAGAGAGATCCTAAAAACAAGACAAAAGGATTTAACAGTGAATCTTGTCTGAAGGCTGCTGAACAGTTTGCGTGTCAGAAGAAAATATCCCCACAGTAAGTGTCCCTGGAAGAAGAGCTCTGTGCTGGTACACATGGCCTGTGCTCTCAGTACTTAGCATGTGGAGAGGAGAAGCTCTAGGTCCTGGCTTAGATCAGAGAGAAAGATACTGTCCATTGGGCATTTGTGTGTCTCACACACACACACACATCTCAGTCTCAGGCCAACTGCCCAAATCTCTCCCAAAACGTGCATAGTCTCATTCCCACACTCAGTCCATCTCCATTGACATTAGCCGGCGTCGCTCCCGTCTGGTTTCTTGTACTTCCTTCTTGCAACACCAGCGGGAACTGCAGTAGCCAATGAGGCAGGATAAGAGTCCGATGATGGTGGCTAGACCAATGCCTATCAACAGTGGATATTTCAAAGCGTTCAGCACTAGGAAGGGGGAGAAAAAAAAAGCAAAAGCAAAATGATTAAATACAGCGTATAGAGAAATGCCAAACTTGCTCACTCTGTCTAAGAAAGGGAAAATACACATCAGCCAGGGACAGATGAAACCATTCAGAAAGAAATTCTAGTTCCCCCTCCCCATTTCGAAGGTTCTGAAAAAATTCAGCTCTCACTCCCCTCTGTTTTGCTTCCATAATTCTCAAGCCCATATAGAAACAAGAAGGACAGGATGCAAAATCTCATAAGAAAATGTCTCATTGTGAGATTCCCAGCTCCAATCTGACAGACTCCAAAGGTTAAGCTAGTCCTGAGGAGCATCCACATTTTGGGTTCTTATCCAAACCAGATTAATCCACCAACAATTTAAACAAAGATGGATGGAAACCCATTCCTTTTACAACACAGCTTCCAAGTGACGAGTCAAGGGCTCTGACTTTTTGAAGGACTGTATACATAGATTTAGAGCTCATTAGGAAGCAAATTCATTCTAGCCACCTAGCAGTTTCCAGTCAAGTCCATATTTAGGTGCCCAAAGAAGTGGCCTGCTTTTCAGAAGTGCTGAACATCCTGCAGTTCAGTGAAATGGAGGGTCTGGAATGAGGACCCATTCAGGGGATTAGGTAAATCAACTCAAGAGGCACACTGCTCCAGGAGGCTCATGCAGAGTTTGAATCAACTGCAGCTCTCTCTATGACTGGTATGGACAAGCAATATTAATTGTAGGATTAGCTCCACCAGGGATGGGAGCAGAGCATTAGAAAATTAGGGACATTTCGTCCCTGAGGTAACTTACTAGCTGCACAGAAAGCAGAACAAAGACTTATGTTTCATTTCATCTTCTTTGGGGCTCCCAGTGAGGCCATTCCTTGAATTTCTGGGAAGTACTTTGGTAAGTACTTGGCCTGACATGCCCCCTAGATTATCACTAAATCACAGTTTTAACTATCTGCTGGATGTATACAACTAATGTTAAGTACATGCAGCAGTTATCAAAATTAGTTTCTCATACTTCAGGAGATTTAAGGGTTGCGTGTAACATGCAGAAAGGGCTGAAACATAGGTCAAGAACCATGAGCACAGGGAGCAGTGTATTCATTGTGTTTACAACAGAGGATTAGGAGTCAGACTCCTGGGTTCTGTTATCAATTGAGATACTAATTGCACCACAATTCACCATGCCTCAAGTCCCCTGTCTGAGAAATGCAGCTAAGGCCTGGTCTACACTACGAAGTTAAGACGACTTACGTCAACCTTTGTTGACAGTGATGCCACCTCTCCTAGTGGCGTTGCACCATGGTCTACACACCGAGGTCAGTGCGTGTGCAGACACTGTGACCTGTATCAATCCTAACAATCCTCCAGTAGCTGTCCCACAATGCTAGACAGTGACTCCACTGCTCAGACGCTGGAAGCCACCCACTTCCCTTTAAAACCCACACATACTTTTGGAATGTCTTTTCCCGATTGTTCAGCTTTGACAAGTGCACCCAACAGCTCTCCACTGTTGCGTAAAACTGCCCAACCAACCATGGCAGCTACATACTATAGACATGCTCCTGCCTGGAGCAGACAGGAGGTATTGGATCTCCTGGGCATCTGGGGAGAAGAGGCTGTGCAGACACAGCTATGGACCAGTCATAGAAACATGGACATCTATGAAAAGATTGCACAGGGGATGTGGGTGAAGGGGTATGACAGGGATCAGCAGCAGTGCCGCATGAAAGTGAAGGAACTATGGTAGGCATATCAGGAGGCCAGGGAGGCCATCCGTCTACCTGGTGCTGAGCTGCAGACCTGCTACTTTTACAATGAGCTGCAGGCCATACTTGGACCCTGCACATCACCATGGATACCCAGACAGAGACTCTTGCCTGGAGCAATGAGGAGGAGGGGTATGCAGCAGGAGGTCAAGCTAGGCCACAAGCCAGGAACTTGGAGACTCCATAACCATCTAGCCAGTTCCGCCAGCCAAGCACAAATGAGCCCGATCCAGTAGAAGGAACCTCAGGGTAAACGTGGGCATGCATTCTCCCTTCACGTGTTTAGATGTGGAGATGGCGCCTGGCCCAACCACAAGTTAGCAGGACACCGGTATCTACGCTTCACTGTTTTACTCAACAAGAAGAGGTAAAGGTACCACACACACACACACACACAGAGGTAGTGTTTTCTGCATTTCAGTCTCCTGTAGAGTTAGGCAGTGGGGGGCACGCATGATGTGGAGCACTTTGTTTATGTACACAGGGACATCCCTTGTATTGTCCTGAGAGATCTTGATGAAACGCCCATGGAGGTACTCTTCAATCCTCTTCCGAAGGTTTTTAGGAATGGCTGCCTTATTTCTGCTTCCATGGTTGGACACTTTCCCCACGTCACTCCATGATGACTTTGGCAGGCACCGTTGCAGTAAACAGGCTAATGGCATATGGGCCCAGATGGCTTCAGGATGCCAGAAGTCACTGTGTTCTCTGGGCCTTCGTGACCCTCAAGAGCAAGGTATCAGCTAAAATCATTTGTGCCCGTGGTAAATAGTGCCAGTACTCAGTGCCATTGCCCTGTCCTCATGCCCACGGAAATAAGTGCTGAAATTTTATTGTTTTATGCAACCAAACAATTCCCTCCTGATTCCCCACCTTGCCCCTAGTGGCCATAGTGACTGTGGCTGCTGCTGAAGAGCGGTGCTGTGGAGAGGCACTCCAGAGGGTCAACAAGCAGGTCTTGTTTAAAACTTGTAGGGGAATAAGGGAAGGGAATCCTGAGATCTTCTGCTTTCTGTCTTGACTGTAAATAGGATACATCTGTCTGTTTTATCTGTGGCTGCTGCCACTGCAGCCTTGAGGGGTGCCCCCTCCACACCCATCCCCTGATGAGGAAGAGAAAGAGGACATGTTCATCGAGATAATGAAAGTCAGTGGCGCATCAGACCATGAACAGAGGGCCAGGAGGGTGAACACAGCAGACAGCCTGGAGAAGGAAGGAATGGGCAGGAGAAAGACACAGGAGTCCCAGCAGGAAAAGGAGAGGAAGATGCACCAGGACAATGGGGTTTCCCAGGCAGCAAACACAAATGCTGCAGACTCTTGTAGACCTACAGCTCCAACAGTCACGGGCTCACCTCCCCTTACAGTCAACCGAGACTTCCACTTCAGCAGCTTCTTACATCTTGCATCAGGGGCCACATCCCTATCCCCCCACAGCAACGGACAGTGAGAAAAACCACAGCTTCACATACACTGACCTGTGAGAGCCAGCATTGGTGCATGTTTGGCAGAAATGGACTGGCATGGACATGAATGTTTTCCACCGTTCTAATTTTAAAGTTCTGTTCTGTTAATTTACAATTAAAATTTTGCACTATCTTGGTTTTTCTTTGCACATTAATGTTTGGCACTGGTTTAGGTATGCAATACATTTTTATTTTTTGGACAAATTCATCTTTATTACTTCATTACATTCTGCGGTATGTCTGTGCTTCGAGTGCCACTAGATTATTCATAAGAGACCAGAGATACAGAATTCATAGGTTGAGTGAAAAACCCAGTGTAATAATTATAAATGTACAATAAGCACTGCACAATTCATTGGTTCATTAAAAGACGAACATAAATGTACACCAAGCACTACACGATTCTTGACAGCCACCCAAAGGTCAGGGCCAGGTAGAGTACAGCCTACCACATCACACTGCTGTGGCTGATGGTTAGAATGATCTTTCAAGGTGTCCCTCAGCTGCACAGCTCCACACTGAGCTCTTCTAATGGTGCTCGTGTCAATGTCAGCCAACAGCTGTTCCACCTCCATCCTACCCCTCAGCAACTTTTCCTTCTTTGCCTCATAGATATTAAGCGGTACACAGCAGGAAGCTATAACCATTGAGATGTTTTTCTCACAGAGATCTAATCTAGTGAGTAAACACTGCCGAAATCCCTTCCATCTGCCGAAAGCACATTCAGCTGCCATTCTGCACCTGCTGAGCCGGTAATTGAATCTTTCCTTGGAGCTGTCAAAGTGGACAGTGTACAGCTTCATAAGCCAGGGGAGCAAAGGATAGGTGTGGTCACCCAAGATCACTTGGCATTTCAGCATTGCCAAATAGTAATCCACCTGTCTAGAACAAGTGTCCCTGATGCAGATTTCTGAACAGCCCTGTGTTCTTAAAGATGGAAGCACAATGTATGTTCCCGGACCAGCCCACATTGATCTCAGTGAAGCATCTCCAGTGATCCACCAACTCTTGCATAACCATAGAAAAGTAGCCCTTTCTGTTCATGTGCCAAGAAGGGCTGGGGCCAAAATAGGGATATGCGTGCCACAGTTCTGGAAACCCACAGCTGAAAATCCATCCATATTGTCCTGCACATTGCCTAGAGTCACAGTCCTGTGTACCAGGATACAGTTAATGGTCCTACACACTCGCATGAAAGCAGCCCCCCACTGTGGATTTTCCAATTCCAAAATTATTTTCCACTAACCGGCAGCAACCTGGCATTGCAAGTTTCCATGGTGCTATCATCACTCACTTCTCAACCATCAATGCAGCTCTCATTCTGGTGTCCCTGCACTGGATTGCGGGTGCCAGCTCGGCACACAGATCCAGGAACGTAGCCTTTCCCACCCAAAAGTTCTGCAGCCACCGCTCATCATCCCAAACCTTCGTTATGATGTGATCCCACTAGTCAGTGCTCAGCTTTCAGGCCCAGAAGGGGCACTCCACCGTCTGCAGCTGCTCTGTGAACGCCAACAACCTTGCATTTTTTTAATTTTTATTTTTTTCCCCACTGTGTTCCCTAGTAATCTGTCCTCAAAGAAATCATCATGTCCCCCGTTGTTGCGGTACTTCCTGCAGCTCTGCAAATACCGGAGCACCATTCTCCCTGAGTTTGTAACGTTCATGACAACAGTACACAGCTGTGCAGGCTCCAGGCTTCTGTCAGAGATGGCAGACACTAACAAGTGTGGGTTTGTAGGGTTTTTAAAAAAGACACAAAAACGTGATAGGATAGAGATGGCATTATGGGATGAGAAAATTGCCTGGTGGGAACATGACCCCTTGCTCCCCCTTCCCCGTGACTCGTGTGTGCGCAAGCATGTTCCAAAAATTTCCCCAAAGGTATTGCACCAGAGGGCAGCGCATGACGCACTGGGATACCTACCTATGGTGCACCGCATTTTACATTGACACAAGCTCTGCTGGTGTGTACATGCAGCACCAACACAAGCAGTCATGTACGCACAAGCGATGCAGTAACTGCAGTGGCTTTACACCGATAGAACTTACATTTACCAGAGTTTGTAATGTAGACATGGCTTAATACTTCCCTTGTGTGGTCAGCATCAGGGTTACTTTACAATGTATATCATGTGGAGAGTCTTGGTTAAAAGATGCTATAGGTGTGAGAAATATCAGGCCACTCAACGGGTTGGGAAAGGGGAAAGCTTTGCTTTTGTAAGCACGATACATTGCTGGGCACATTGTATGATCAGGAATTAAAAGTTTAACATGCAAGAGAAAATGCGAAGTTTAACTGCAGATAGAACTAGCACTTTTCATATTTAGAGGCAGTTGCAGAGTACTTAAAAAGCTTTTCTAGTTCTACGACAGCACACATTAGACCCATAGCATTACACGTGTTCTTATCATCAACATGGGGTAAAGTGTCACCACTGGTATTCCTGAGCCTTAGCATCCCCACTGGCAGAATACAGCAGGTGTACAGATGGGCTATGAAGTACCCTGTGCAGTCACCTTCGGAAGAAAGGAGGCAGCTACAATGCAGGGGCCTCTAAAAGTGGGGGTGGGCTGGAGGGAGGGGCGCGTGCAGAATGGGGAATAGTTGGTACCTGAGGGCTCCAACAGGGGTGTGGCAAGTACATTCCCCAGCCTCAACAAGAAAAGTATCTAAAACCCTTACCATCCATTTTCACAGATATGAATATGGGCTTGGATTTGATCTCCGGTTCCCGCTGCCAGACACCCGTGGCTGATCGCACCCAAGGGGTTATTGAGCAGTAATGGTTGCCGAAATCCTGGCCCTCACAGCCATGCACCCGCAGCCGGAACTCCATGGGGCTGATCCTCTCCAGGCTGACATCGCTGCTCCAGTTCCTCCTGGCCTGGGTCACGATCCCTTTCCGATCCAAGGAAGCTAGCAAGACAGGGGCTCTGTCCAGTGCAAAGGAATGCACAGCAAACCAGGAGACGTCGAAGGACATATCATCTGAGTTTGAAGGCAAACAGAATTTGGCAAGGACAGTGAGCTCTGAAGGATATTTACAGTGTCACTTAGTCAGCAAATGGGCAGAGTCTGGTGTCTCGGAACATACAGGAGCATTATAACCAAATGACTGAAAATACAGCATAGATTTAAAAACAAAAAACAAAACAAAAAAAACCACCCTGTTCTTTGACAACTCAGCTTTCCAGCACAAACCAGGTAAATCACAGAAGGATTACAATGCAGGTGGCATCATGAAAATATGAACGCTTAGGCAGTTAACCTCATTTCTGAATTGACCAGACACACAAAGAAGATTATGACTGCAGGAAACTAAGTAGGCCGGATCAGTATTTGGCATTAACCCTTGGAATGCTACCTAATTATGACAGAGATGTTGGGAGTCGTGGGCACTTGCTAAAGCAGAGGAAGCAGAAAGGGAAGAGTCAGGGCTAGGACACTTAGTGGGGTGGTTGGGTCTTTTTTTCAGGGATGGTAGCAAGGGATTTTTAGCATCTGGGAAGGGCTGTCAGTGGGAGCATAGGAAGGGTAGTGAGCAGAGGTGAAAGTAAGCCGGTGCGCCGTACCGGGGTGACCTGGCTTCCGCAGGTGGCAATTTAAAGGGCCTGGGGCTCCCAGCAGCGGCTGGAGCCCCAGGCCCTTTAAATTGCCGCCAGAGCCCCACTGCTGGAGCCCTTGTAGAGGGCAGCACGTAAGTGTTTAGCAGCTGAAGAGGAATGGGATTAAGATCTTGTCAAAACACAGGTTTAGCAACTAGGGGACAGTGGGTAAATCGTGCAGGTACTTGTTGGGAGGGTAAGTGTGTCATGAAGTTGGGCTGGGGTACAACAGTAGGAAGGCTATGGATAGTTGGGAGAGGGACAGGGTTTCCTACTGGGGACAGCAGAAGATCTTCTATTGTGTCTTTTTCCTACTATTTTAGACTGAAATCTCAAATTTAATTTCATAGGTGAGTCTTTGCTAAGCAAGCCTAGAAGCTGGGTAAGACCGTTGTAATTCCCACATGATTAAACTAAAGCGCAAGGCCTGAGGAGCAGAATGCTAGAAGTTTGCTAGCGGGCAACAGTTTCCAAACAACATCCTTGACCTTGTCTAGTCTCTCATGCTTTCAGAGAAGTCTCTCCTCTAAAAAGACAGCCTCCCAGCTGTAGTTAGTGCGCTGTGTGCTCAACATAAAAAGGCAGGCCCCCAGGTAGTACAGCGATGAGCATGCTAGAATTGCTCATAAAACACCACACACACAATGATATCACTAAATATTTGCCTTCACATCCTGCCCATGAAACAGCTTACCTTTCTGCCATAGTTTTTCTTTAATTATGTGTCAGAAGGAACTATGCCTCACGCACATTGCACTTGCAAGGAGATAATCTACCAAGTGCCTTTGTAGTGACTTCCACCTCTAACACCAGTTGACAGATAGAGTCCATCAGTACTACCGTCCCTTTCCGTGCTCATACAAGATCATATTGATCCATTTAGCAGATCTGCACTTTTAACCCTATTAGGCTGGCAGCTGAGGATGCAGTTTAATCACTGCAACATCCTCTGTGTTAATACCCCAATTCACCGCACAGCGGGTTAGAAAACCAACATGGATGCTATTATATATGAGTAATATACAGAAAGCTGCTAAAGAAAGAGACCATAAAAAACAATGACTTAACAAACTTGTCTAAACTCCAGCTGAAGATGGATTCCATCTGAGAGCAATAATGAAATATTCTCATAATCTGTGTGTAGGGATGATAGGGGTGGGATGACCATTCTCTATCTGACCTATCCACAATGTCAGGAAGCTAAGCAGGAGGGACCTAACACTATCTCCTTGATCACCAGAGCTGGGGACTTTATCCTGAGGTGTGCTAGACTGACCACACTGTAGTCAATGGGCTCTAATAATACACAGCACACATATAATACTGTTTTTAACTAAATAATCAGTGGCCCACACTGTCCAAGGAAAACTGTGTTGAGCTCTTCTTACCACACAAGTGCCTCAGATGTAGTAGGGGCTAGCATGGCTTTGAGTGTAATGAGGACACAGCCTTAGACAATTCTGCTGCTTCTATACATTATCTGCATCTCTGATTCCCCTACACATTAAGCACACAGATGGGCCACAACTGACGCTCACATCCTTATGAATTTTGGATACAGATTGGTGTTGGCGGGGAGTGAGGGGGGAGGGAGGATGGGATACTGAATATGAATTAGTTGAATTCCCATATCCAAGCCAGCCTCTACAATTTTGGATCTACATCAGATCTAAAACTGGAAAGGGTTTATGTTTTCCAGTTCTGAGTAAGGTCCAACCAAAATAACACTAACATTTTGCAGGATATCAGCACTGCCAGTCCTGAATTGAGCTTCAATCTCAGTACCTAGCCCTACCCTACACTTGCAGGGGGTATCTCCTCGGCTTATCTGTAGTTAGCAGGTGCCACATCTACGTACGTATGCTGAGCTGTAGCCGTGATGGTTCCAGGAGATTAGAAAGGCAAGGTGGATGCGATAATATCTTTTACTGGACCAAATTCTGCTGGTGAGAGAGAGAAGTGATCGAGCTACACAGAGCTCTTCATGTTTCAGGAAGGACCTGAAGAAAAACTCTGTCTAAAATGAAAGATATTACCTCACCTACCTTGTCTCTCTAATAGCTATGTATTGCATTTCAAATTCTGTTACTTATTCCCCTACTGGAGGGGATAATTCTGTTTGTAATATCATTAATTGACCTGGAAGTACCCATAAACAGGATTGAAATATGTAGCAGGAGCAGATAAACGCTATGGGATAAAATGTCCTATTTTCATGTACGTCTTCTGTAATGAAAAGAGGGAAAGACAGCAGATAGGGGCACACTATATAGCAACAGAGACACTGGCATCTCCAAATAGTCCATTCACCCAGTAAGTTCACTATCCTGACTGCAACAATGGCCAGTACCAGAAGATGCCACAGAACCTCCATAAAAGTACCTGGTGTATTTTGCAGTTCTGGAGAAGGGAAACATTACCCAACCCCACCTGGGGATCAGTTAATGCCCTGAAGCACATTTGTTGACAGACAGTCCTTGTAGATCATTCCTACTGCCTGTAACTGCAGAGGCTACTTTTAGTTACTCAGGGTGACATCCTGGCCCCCCCGAAGTCAAGGGAAAAATTCCCATTTGTTTCAACACAGCCAGAATTTCACCCTCTATCTTGCCTGCTCCCTTCACCACCAGTGTCCCTCATTCTGCACCTGGACCAACCACTTCTAGGGGAAGAGTTCCATCTCCATAGCCCAGTCAGTTCTTGACTTCTGTGGAGACTGCTAAAAAGGTGGCCTGTTATGTGGTAGCGGGCACCAGTCCACAAGAAGCCAGATTGAAAACCACCCACTCATTTCAAAGATCATTAAGACAGCCATTAGCTTTTTTGTCTCCACCAAGCTGGGTTGAGTTTGAAACCGTGACCCGAGGTAACAGGTCCACACACCCTGGCTACACCCAATCTCTGAAGACATACATTGCCCATAAATTCCTCTTACTTCCGCATATTCTACTTCAGACAAGCTCGATCCAGTTATAGTAAGAACACTTGGACATTCTCCAGGATAAATGACATCAATAATGACACAGCTCTGACCCATTGCCTCCCCCAAATCCCCAGTCACACACAGTTACACTTGCAGAATAAAATTTTAACAAACAAGTCCTTTTAACGTCTCAGGCAAATTCATACCTTTGAAGAATTGTTTTCTGTTTAAAATTATACTGTTAATTTGAGGTTCTCTTTTTCCTTCATACAGAGATAATGAGTTGAAAGTTATAAGATCTTGCTGTCATTTTGAGAATGCCAAATCTATCTTTTGTAATTACACCATGGCATAATAGTATTATGCCAACATATCTTATCAATCAGTATACACAGTGCGCAATTAGTGACTCAGTACCGACACACAGAGAATCAGAGGGAGATTTTGTCTGCCTGAAAGATTTCCTCGTTATTATATCCCTTGAAGGGGCTGTGTGCCAAAGTCATTTGCTTTATTCCTGAGTTTTGTGTGATTTTTCACATTACAAAATATTAGAAATTTAGCAACAGCAGGACATGAATTTGTTGCTCTATAAAGATTAGTAGCAAATACGTCCAGCTGCTCCCAGAATCTGATCAATTAAACAGCATATTTAAATATTTGGTTATCCACTGGTATCCCCAAAAGCAAGAAAAAAAATCTCTTTCCTCCATCCCCGTTGTTCATACTAAGTATCAATTTTAATTCGGGAACAAAAATAAAGTCTCCATTTTTGGATCACTGGAACAGATCACTGTCACCACAAATTCATTGCTATTCTTCCCTGCCCCTACCATACAGTCTTATATTAGTCAATATCAGGCACCAGGAAAAGAGAGGCTAAATGCTCCCTGGGATATTATGAGGGAGAAATATAACATCCCAGTGACAAATCCAGGGGGCTGCTGATCCCTTTGGGTGATGAAACTCTCAGGTCCTCTCTACATGCAGACTAACGTGGTGGTGTCCTGCTTTCTCCCTCCAGGCTGGCTAGAATCATCAACATGTAAGGCACATCTTTATGCCTATTCCAATTTGACACACAGGACTAAGCTGTCTGGGTTTTAGCTACTTTCCTGGCTACTCAGTCCTCAAGATAGTGAATTCTATTCCCAGCCCACCTACTAGACACCATGCACTTCCACTCGACAGAATGGAGCTCTTTTAGCATCTTGTGATTGTGCTGAATCACAATTTTGAAACCCCTTTTTGTTTGCTAAATTGATATGAGGTTGAACAGGGCTTCCTAGAGAGCTGAGAGTACCGCTCTTCAAGACAGGGTAAAGAAGCTGGCTTTGTTAATTTTCCAGGGCACTCACTGGGTCTGTCTGGAGCACATAAAACTACTTTTTCAGAGAGAGACACCGTAATACTCTCAAGGACCTGAGAATACAGGCCTATGAAGGGGTCATTTGGGAGACATTGTTATCTGTTCGAAGAAGAATTTTTACAGAACTAATAGAAGAGACTCTGCCCTTGAGGCAATGGAGACGCTACCTTCCTCAAAAAATTAAAAAAATTTCATTTGAATTCAGCGCACTAATCACAGCTGTTAAACTAACAGACTGGCTCTCCCAGATGAAGAATCTATAAGGGACAGATGTTCCAGTGTCCCAACCCTCCATAACGCACACTCCATTCGGGGCTCAGAGCAGCAACGGCACTCCTTCGCATAGTGTTGCGGCCAGAGCAGAGCACTGTGGGAGACATCCAAAAGTGCCTTCAGTGATGGATAAATGTACAGCTAGCTAAGACAAGTTACTTTGCCCCACCTAAGTCTGACCTAGAACCAGTACTATTATAAGTACTCTAAATTGATTCTGGGTGTAACAGAAGGAGGATAAGCTGACTGATAAAGAGAAAGACATTGTCTTCTCTCAAGCACAGCAAATATTTCAAAATCTTCCTATAAGTACTTTGCACAGATGGTTATGAAAATTAAGGAGCGTGTAAACAGATCACCCCAGATGTTTCCCTACCTTACTCCATGAAATATAAACATCTATTAGAATTGCACACTTGTGAAGGAGAGCTGCAAAGCTTAGATGAAAATAGTTCACCACAAATCTGGGCTTAATGCCCTCAGCAACACGTCTGCGGACTTTAAAATAAAAGATCCTCTCAAATCCACTGGCTCGTCTGTGTTCATGAGAGATAACCTAGAATGAACAATTCTGGAACATCAGAGACCAAAACAGCAAGGATTTAATATGGAGACTTGACTTCTATGATATTCCAGAAGATGCAAGTAGGCCAGGGGTGGTGCTACCTCTCTGTGCAAGTTAAGCAGACAGTTGGCAGAGCAGTGATGTCTGCTCTGCCTTCACTTAACTTCCCACATCCCGGGGGCAGACGGAGACCAGCACTACATTGCTCAGTCAACCCAGAAAGTACATCAACTCTTGCTGTATGTATTCAGTTGGTGCAAGCTTTCCCCAGTATTGGGTGTCAGTTCCAATTTGGGGGGAGTTCCCATGGTCTGTTCATTTCCTTGGCGTCTCTGCTAAGTTTGGGTTATTAATTCCAGTTGTGAATTAAGTTTTGCGATATGGAGAGATGTCTCACTAAAAACAGGCCAAGCCACCAATAGGACTCCCATCCACAGGTCCAGCAGAGGGCTGGAGACGTGCCAGTTTCTCTAGCATGCCTGAAGGGCCCAGATGCAGCTTCTCCATGAGGACACAGATGGGGCTGGTTTGAATCTCAAATCTTGTTAAACAATGTTTGCACAGACCACTGACTAAGTTACTTGGACACCTGTCACAATTCCACACTTAGTCATTCCCTGCTGTGCACGTCCACTGTACAAGCTGAATACGGGTCTGTTTGCCCAGCTGTTACAGACTTAAGGAACTGTGGAAGCAGAGATCTGCCAAACACAATGAGACAATTCCCAGAAGCAGAATCGATTACAAAAATCTTCAGTGCTATGATAATGGAAACTCTGCACTGATTGCTCTGGGTGACAAGGACATTTCTAATTCTCAGCAGTATCAATGCTTTCAAAAAGCATCTCAACCCCAGTGAGACTGCACTATTCACACCTTGGCCATAGGGATTGGCAGTTTCCTGGAGAGGTCACCGTTCCAGTGTAAAACTCTGTTCTCTATCATCCTTCCACCCCTTGTCTGAATATCTCCAATCTCTTGTTCTCCGCATACCCCCCAGAACAGTCATATAATAAACCTCACTACAATGTACACTGAGTGGCCTCCTTGTTGGAAATCTCAGAGGCATCAAGAGCTGAAAATGGGCCACGGAGACTAAATTGTCTGATGATTTCTAAAGGGCTCTTGTGCAAAGCACACTAAGGGCAGATTGGGGCACAAAGAACACAATTATATTGCTGCAGATCATGCCCATTCTCCAGGGTTATGAATCTTGTCGACATTAAAGATTCCTCAACTTTCTCCCCACCTACCAATTCAAATAAGACACTCAAAACAGGTTTTCACCATTCTCACTACAGTCTTCACTCATATTTTCACAGACAGCACAGAGCAGTAATTTAGCAGACTACTTCCCTACTGCATTTGCCTCTGCAGCACAAACTGCTTGACTAACTCTTGGTATGTCATGTTATACGCTTCTATAATAAAAGATGTAATCTTTTTTGGAGAAGCTTCATGCTTACAGAGGTCATAAGTGCCACATGTACTAATTTACATAACAAATAGGGACAAATTAAAGAGAATATAAACCAAACTAAACCTTCATCCAAAACTCATATCAAGCCTAGGGGTTTTTTTGTTTGTTTTTGAGTTCTCAAAGCACAAATATATCATTTAAAGCTATTTCATGGTTTTTTTACCCCAAGTCAGGATCAGCCAAGCTAGTGTCAAGCAGGCATCTGAACTTTTGGTGCGTCTCTGAACCTCATAACCTTTTAAGGTTTGCATTCAGTGTGCATCCTACCATGTTAGCAATGAACAGAATGCAACATTTCTTCTTGGTATTTCATACAAAAGCTCCTGAATCTAGAAGCAGGCTCATTACTAAAGAGATCAGCAATGAGAAAGGATTGTTGGCATCTTGGCTAAATTTTAAAATTGTAAAAACAAGATATAAAGTAAGTTTAGTGTTGGACAAACAGTGCTAAGCTGACACGTGGAGATTTAATGACTATCCACAGAAGATACACAGCTTTTCCCCCGCACTGCCCTGACAATGAATCTCATTCCTAACTAAGGGTGACTGGGCCCACAGCGCATTCAATCTTTGGCTCTTTGCTCAGACTGCCAGCAATGGGGACTGTTAGTGTGAACAGTAATGGAGGTTTGTGATGAGAACACCTCTTCACTAGGATATGAAATGAGAACCTACCAGTTTGTTTTATATATACACATATAACCTTTTGGCCTATATTTTCCTATATTCTCCATTGCTTTGACTAGTATTATGGGGCTTTGTGGTGGTTCTTGATTTCTAGACCTATTCGAATAGTGTCCCAATTGCCAGTGTTGTACAGTACAGTGAAGGTAACGGAGTTATTTCCAAAAAACAAAAAATGAAATAAAGTTCAGTGGAGTACCTGGCTCAAGTACCACTCTGTCGATGGTGACAATGCAGAGCAGATCTGCCAGCTCGCCCTGGTAAACCGTCGGGTTGTCCGAATGCACTGAGACATTAAACACGGGACCTAAAAGATAGCAATTTAATCCCATTATTCATTCAAGGTTCCTTCTTTGTGTTACCCAAAAGCTTTTAACCAGTGCTTAAAACAATCTAGGTTAGTTTGTGAAGCACTTTGATGTCAGATGACTAATATATTGCTTCTGCTCTCAGAGTGAAGATTTATGGAACCACCTGCATATTCTTTAAGACACTAAATTTCATGCTGGTGGAAAGTACCAATCACCAGCTCTGAAGTCCTCTACTGATTCATAGAACAGGCACAATATGGCAGGAGGAGTTTACCACACACTGTCCTCTGCCAATATGCCATCCACTTGCCCTGGAGGAGGCCCCTATGGGTGTCTTTCACCTGTTCAGTCTTGGGAACCCCCCCGCTTTGATTGCGGAGCCACTGATGTGTGTGATGTGGACATTTCTATTAGGAGCTGAACAAAGACCAACTCACCTCTTAGAACATGTAACCTTTATTATATGGCCACAATTCCATATGGTTTTCATATGGGTCCTGGCTCTACCCCATACAACTTCTTCTATGATCCTAGGCAAGTCAAAATATCTGTGTCTGAATTCCTCCACCTATACAATGGTTATAATATGGATATACCCTCACAGGGGTGTGGTGAGGTGCTCAGCTACTATGGTGATGTGCATCACAGAAAAGCCTTTAGATCAAGACACCCACTTTTGACCAGTACCAAATCCATGGTGCAAAATTAATGACAGAGTGATGGTACTTCACATAGGTTTACATGGCTAGAACTGTACCTCTTTTGTAGGCAGAAGACTGAAGGACAGATATCTGAATATCCCATAATCTGAGTCCTCCACTAAAATAAGGATTCACCTACCAGAGAGGTGAGAAACAAGACAGCACTGTTTATGGTTGTCTCCATCATTCTGAGGTCTAGGCCCTACTTTAAATCCAAGAATCTTCATAACTCTTGCAGAGTCCCACCAGGCTTTTGACGGGAAACCTCCAAGGAAAATCCAGGTTTCTGTAGGAAGTCGTACTAGTGACTGAGTAGATTGTACTTTTTCTTCAAGTCACTACTGAACCAATGTTCTGGAATGGAATTAGGGCATTGTGCCACTAGCTGTAACCTATTGGTTGAGATATTGAAGACCGCAGGGGGATGACTATTTGTGGTCCACGGAGATTACAGAGCACTTTTTACAAGAGCCAAAATTCCAATTAAGAGGAAGCAATTACTTTGTGGCTTCCTAAATTCGCATGATGATTTCAAATGGGCATAATTTTCTTTACTTTCTGTTAAACTGTAGTGCAACATTCTTGTTGCAGTTAAATCTCCCATTCCCCCCCCACACCCCCCCATGGCTGCATTTTGGCAGTGATGAAGCAAGGTCTACCTATGTAAGTTTATAAAATCACTGTCACATGAAAGGCATTATATAAAAGTGTAAGATGTCCCTGAAAACATGGAGATAAATGAATACCAAAGATGCCTTAGAAGTTGTATGAACTATTGGTTTAGACTTGAAGAGTCTGCTAGAACATATTTACGGAAATAAGAGACCTAGAATATTATGAAGTTCAGATGCTATGGTGATGGGTGTCTTATAAATGCATTAAAATTGGCACACATTTAAAAGTTGAGCCCTCCCGCTCGATCCTCTGCAAGCAAAGGGGAAGGAATATTAGCATGACCACTTCCTCAGACTCTGTCCAAGATCTTCCTATGAACATTTAATTTGTTTCCAAAGATAGCCAGCAACCTCACTTTCATTAGATGTGTTGTTATAAAGTTTATCCTTCAAATAAAACAAATTAAGCTCTTTCCTGTGAGTCTTCAGTGAGTTGTGCAGCTAGAAATTAAAGATGTTAACACACTTGTTACAAAGTCAATGTTAACCATCACGTTCAGGCCAGCATCCCTTCATTTGATTTTATTTAGATTTATAAAACATCAGTCTCAATGCATGAGATTGTCATGTTTGCTTGCAGTGCCACTGCCCTCCCAGAGTCTAATGTGTTGCAGTGTAGACTGAATGTGAATAGCACCGTCATCACTGACTCCTGTTTTACATGCACCCCATTTTACAGTAAGTAACTGCAGCGTTTCAGAATCAATGAGTGAACTCTCACATCAGGTGAGGAGAGAATCACTGCATTCCCACAGATCCTGCCACTATACTGGTAGGGAGAAGAGAATCAAGCTTGAGTTCCTGTACATACCTCCCTAGAGGCCATGGACAGACAGAGTGAGAGAAGAATTGTCTGATCCTTGTCAATGTCACTTTGCCCTGCTGAGTGTTTCAGAAGCACAGCCTGGATACTGTGTGGGGGGGGGGGGGGGGGGGGGGAGGAGGAGGAGGAGAGGGGAGAGTTATCAATGCAGAACATTGCACACTGTGACCTGTAGTTTCTACAGGTCATGTCTCTATATTAAAAGATGAGGTCATCTGTGATTTACTCCATTTTATAGACACTGATTGTAGCCATCAAGGCCCCAGCAAGTTGCCAGTGTAGCTTCTCAGCTGGGCAGAATCTGAGCACCCTTTACCATAAAAGACCTTAAAAGCAGAAGTCAATGTGCTTCGGTTATTATCAGATCAAATTTCTTCATCTCTTATAAAAGAGAATTTCTGCTTTCAGACCATCAGCTGCATCTCCCGGCTTGTCATCAGCATGCCCAAGTTTCTAGGGCAATACTGATGCAACAACTAGAGCAGCTGCTTCCCTATGTCCATCATTTAATGATCACACTTCCCCTGGGTAAACCACAGTAACCAGCGGAAAATCATTAGTTCCCTTCCAGAGTACACAACTCCTGCAAATCATCTCCACGCTGGGGAAAATTGTCCCTGAAGCACAAAGAAAGTTAGAAGGAGAGAAGAATACCATCATCCTACGTCAGAAGTGCTGGACTTCAACAGAAAGCCCTGAAACATTTCCGGGGTCACCATCCTCTCCCTTCATCCAACAGACTAAAAATCTTGGGCTTCCTCTTTTAAACAATGTTTTAAGCAAAGCTTTGTTCTAGTAAACGCTGCTAGGCTGACAATCTGGGAAACTCTATCCACACAATTATGGCTTCCACGAGAGCAGTTTCCCAGTGAGGCACCATTCCACTTCTCACACCAAAGTGCCTCACCCCGGCCTGAAGAGACCATCTTCAGAGATAAGCTCATGGCTCATTCAATTCTTTGTCCCTCTGCAGAAGTTGCAAGTACCTGAGGACAATCAATACTCATGGTTATGATTGTTTGTGATGTGGGCACTTAACCAGGAACTGGACTGTATTTCACACACGCCACTGAAACGCAACCAAAAAGTAACAAGTTTTGATCACTTGCCACCTGGGCAGGATTTGTACTAGTGACCTAGCTGTGAAGTGCTCCATAACTCACTAAAAGCCCCTGCAGCCACCAACTCCCCATTCCTTTAAAAAAAAAAAAAAAAAAAAAAGGGCAGGAGAAAGCAATCTTTATTTCATTCAGAGTGCTATTTGCCTTGATTTAGATCTCCCTGTTTAAACCAGGTTTCAGAGGAACAGCCGTGTTAGTCTGTATCCGCAAAAAGAACAGGAGTACTTGTGGCACCTTAGAGACTAACAAATTTATTTGAGCATGAGCTTTCGTGAGCTACAGCTACAGCTCACGAAAGTTTATGCTCAAATAAATTGGTTCGTCTCTAAGGTGCCACAAGTACTCCTGTTCTTTCTGTTTAAACCAGTTGCCCTGACTTCAGCTAAAGCTAATAGGAAGAGATGAGCAGGAATGAGCAGTGAACCATTACCACAGAAAAACAACATTGTGATCTGTCAGAGAAAGCATACATAGCAAAAAACCTGCTAGCTAGGCATTTTATTTCTGAGGGCTCTAAGAAAAGCATCTTGGCAAGCACTGGTATCAGTGCAATAGCATGCAGCTTTCAGGCATGCCTCTTAGCACAGGGCACCCAAATTAAATGAGCAACAGTAAAGACTTCTGGGACATTTATGCAAATCAGGTTGGTTTTCCCTCACGCTCATAGCTCCATCTTAACCCAGGTCCCTGTACTTAATACTTCAAAATATGGACAGTCACTATTATAAACTACAAAAAGAAATTTCAGTTACAGTACTGACAAATCACATGACTTGTTTTATAGATCTCATTGAGACCTAAATCAAGCCAAGTTTGAAAATATTATTCAGTAGGTTTAAAATCTGGAACATTTAAAGCTGAATGACCTCGAGTTTGGCTTAGACCTTGATTTTTTCCAATGTAGCTTTGACTCAAGCTAAGAAATCCAATGAAAAAGCTTGAACATAAACTTTACAGACAAGCATTATTAAAAGAAAACTGATTTCCTAGTTTTGAAATTAAGTTGACATTTTGTAAATCTCATTGAAACTTAAAAATCAAACCAAGATCGAAGTCAGACAGTAAGCCGTCATACGTACACAGGTAATAAGAAATACCTGTTTTTATTCTACTATATTATGCATCCAATGAAGTGAGCTGTAGCTCACGAAAGCTTATGCTCAAATAAACTGGTTAGTCTCTAAGGTGCCACAAGTCCTCCTTTTCTTTCTGCGAACACAGACTAACACGGCTACTACTCTGAAACCTGTATTATGGTTGTAAAGGTTAAAAAGTTGTTATATTAAAAAGCTATAAACATAATAATGGCAAAGGTAAAATAGATCTTTCAACCACAGCTCTTCATCTCTTCATTTTTGAAAGACTGATTACTCAAGTCCAACATTACACCACCTTGATTTTGGGAGTGGGGGGTTAGGGAGGAATGAGGTTAAGCACAATTTTAAAAACAACCAAGAGTAAAAGTTGCTAAATGGGAATTTGTAAATTCCAGAACCAGGATTTACTGGTTTAATTCCTTCTGAATGCAGCTATTGGTTAACTCTCCAGGCCCAAATTCTGGGCCAGAGTTTAGTTCCATCCAAAAAATAGAGTACATCTCAGTGCCTAGCAGTTTGAAGTAACTTAGCTTTAGATTTAAAAAAAAAAAGTTACAGCAATTTCTTCTGTGGATACACT